CGCATGGACTGAAGATCAGAGAGCAGAGTTGTTTTTAATAAACTTCACTTTATACGACTGAAAGTAATATAACGTCGTCATGATTGCAGTGCCTAAAATTTTCATTTTGATATTTATTCAGATCAAGCTTCATGAAGATACGTCAAGAGGATACAAAGTTATTGGACGAAACAGCGATACCATTTCAGGACCGTTTAAATTCTTTACAATATCCAGAAGTTTCATCAGCCATTTCACTACTCGTTCTTCAAAAATACCCTCGTAATACTGGTCCAGTTGTGTGTGTAAATATATATATATATATATATCGCTTCAGAAACAGGGCATAATGTGTGATCAATTTATCGCGTAGGCGTTAATCAACTCCTTACGTCGCAGAATACGAGGTGCGATCGGAAAGTTTCAAGACTGTGTCAATAGCGGGCGAACCGGATGTAGTACGAGCTTCTACCGCTAGGGGGTGCGGCCTACATTCATAGTGAATCAGTGTGCCAGCCGGCATCATCGAATTAGCATTTGTTTCTTAGTTACGGGCGTTTTGGTAGTGCATTACACCGACCCTCCTGCGATTTCGGAATGGCGTGTGCATCAAATTTTGCCAAAGACTCGCCAAAACGGCTACGGAAACCTATGAAATCCTAAAGCAAGCATTTGGGGAGTCCGCAAACTTTGGTGTGGCATTCACGTTTTAAAAATGACCGAACCTCTGTCGATGATGGGGAACTACTTCGAGGGTGATGGATGAATTTAATACCTGAGATAAGTGTACGGGTTTTTATACGCGCAGTCTAGAAACTTTCCTATCGCACCTCGTATATGAGAGCAGCAACATCGTTTTGAACTTTAAATATTTTATTCCGAATCGTCACATTGGGCATATTAAAAGCGTATGACAAATTCGGACTCCTTACGTTTCTACTTTGTAGGTGGAATGACTAGTCCAGTAGAATCAACGGGGGTGTTATTCTTGCAAAGAAGCGAACATGGAAATCATCGGAATGTGGCGAAATGTTGCCTCGCTTGTAAATACCTGCACGCAAAGAATGTTATTTTTCAAAGGATTATTTTTAATTTTAGTGGCATGTATGCTATGTCATTTTGCAAAACTGAAAAAAAAAAAAACAGGGCATAATGTGTGATCAATTTATCGCGTAGGCGTTAATCAACTCCTTACGTCGCAGAATACGAGGTGCGATCGGAAAGTTTCAAGACTGCGC